CCATGCAGTTTTTATTATTATGGCTTTGTAGTGTAGCTTGAAGTTTGGGATTGTAATGCCTCCATTCTCTTTCTTCCTAGTCATGAGAGTTTTGGCTTCAAGGTCTTTTGTTGTTCCATATGAATCTCATCAGTATTTTTTCTGTTTCTTTGAAGAATGTCATTGAGACTTTTATTGAGATGGGGTTAAATCTGTATATCGCTTCTGATAGGATGGCCATTTTGATGATGTTAATTCTCCCGATCCATGAGCAGGGGATGTCTCTCCGTTTTATGGTGTCTTCTTGTATTTCTTTTAACAGTGTTTTGTAATTGTCTTTGTATAGGTCTTTTACCTCTTTTGTTAGGTTGATTCCCAGGTATTTGATTCTTTTTATTCTTTTTGTTTTAATTGAATAGGGAATGGTTTTTTTTTTTTTTCCTTCTGTTTCTTCTGATTGGTTGTTTGTTATAGCAACGCCTCTGATTTTTATGTGTTGATTTTATATCCTGCTACCTTGCTAAACTGGTTGATGGTTTTGATGAGTTTCTCTGTGGAACTTTTAGGGTTTTCCATGTAGATTAACATATCATCTGCAAATAAGGACGGTTTTACTTTTTCTTTCCCTATTTGGATTCCTTGTATGTTTTTTTCCTGTCTTATTGCTCTGGCTAGAACTTCCAATGTTATGTTGAAGAGCAGTGGTGACAGTGGACACCCTTGTCTTGTTCCTGATCTCAAGGGAAAGGCTTTCTTTTAGCTTTTCTCCATTGAAATTCTCAAACTTTTTACATTATAAATATTTTACCTTTCCTATTGCCATACTTTGTTGGAGAGACCTAATTTAGAAGTTATTAATTGACCCTATTAGATCAAACAGCATGGCAAAAGAAAACTTAATGACAATTCATTAAATAACAAAAATGTTGTAAATTGTGATTTCCCCTATCTTCCCAGTGATTTTCTCTCTTGGAGGCAAAAGACTGTACAGGTCTTTTACTTATACCAATTAACATTTTTAACAGTTTGCAACACTAGCACAAAAGTAATAGTTATGAGCATTTACCTGTATGCCAAGCACTGTGCTTTACATTTTATGTATAATTTAATACTTGCAATAATGCTAGTATTATTTTCCCCTACTTGAAAAGGTAGAGAAGCCTAGGCATACAAAAATCAAGTAACTTCTCAAAGATGAATACCAATTTAAAAGTAGCAGAATTGGGGTTTGAATCCAAGTGGCCACACTTGAGTCTGTGTCTAAAGGTGAATGTTAAACTGTCATTTGACAACAGCTGTATAAAACCAAATTTGAATAGTCAAACATAAGACTTCCAGCAAATTTTACAGATCAAGTATGGCATTTTTTTTTAGATTTATTTGTGCATACAGAATTGGGGTATAGGCCAGAAGCTCAAGGGCAGTGAGAGGCTTTACCAGAGACAGAGTGGGGAGCAGAACAGGCAGATCAACGAAGTACTACACTTCCGGGAGCAGCTGGTGGGTCAGGAGAGGTCTTCCACTCCATGTGGTCACCTCCGGGGCAGGCTGGAATTGAACTCAAGCGGAAGTGGCTTTAGCTTCTCAGTGCTGTGCTTTCACCCGCTGCGCCACCAGGGAGGGGCATTATTGCATTCTTTTAGACATGTTATTTAATGTAACTTAGACATTAAATAACTTTTTTTGGTATCCTTGAGAAGCTCTGAGAAAGTCATTGTGTGGCACATGATTTGATTATTAACTACACTCCCTTTAAAGCATATATTAATAGTATTAAATATACATTTACAGTTTGGTCAGAATGCATTAATGTTTTGTATTTCTCAATTTCATTCAATATTTGCTATAAGAAAAGCTTAATGCCTAGATTTAAATAATCCTTTTTGAAAAAAGAGGGGAGGGATTCAAATTTTAACAGAAACATTGAAGATTATTAAAATTGTGTATTTTATATAATTAAGGGATGACTAGAGGCAGGGATATTAGCAATTTACATGTATGAAGAAGTACACTATTTATACCTAAACTTAATATTTGTAACCTAGCACATCAATTCTTATTCTTACTTGCTAATCCACCTCCCATAAGTCAGGAGTGAATTATGGACCCCTGACCAAATACAGCTGCTGTCTATTTGTATGCTCATGAGCTAAAATTGGTTTCTACTTTTTAACATTTAAAAAAGTCCAAAGAAAAGTGTACTTTTCTATCATGTGAACTGCATATGAAATTCAAATTTGAGTATCCATAAGTAAAATTTTACTCGAACATTTTTTGTATCATCTATGGCTGCTTTGGAGCTGTTATAGCACAGTTGAGAAACAACAGCAACCTCATGGGCTGCAAAGTGTCATGTAATATTCCACTCTTTTCAGAAAGTTTGCTGACCCCTGAACAACATACTACTCAAAGAGTTAGAGAATGAAATTTAGAAATTTCAAACTAGAAGTTCCTGACTGAATTAACCTCTAGGCTTTGTAGAGGATGGGTTGTATTGTATTTCAAAGCAGCTTGACTTTGTGCCTTTAGATAACAAATGGCTCCAATTCATTTCTTCCCTATACTTTTATTTTTTGCTTTCATCTATTTACATGACCTGCCTGGTTTTAATGATTTAGGTTAGAATCATTCTTAAACTTTTTCTGCAGAGCCAGACAATAAGACAAAACTGAGAACATTAAGTAGGCACTTACATGATGAGAAAATAGTCACTTTTAAAAATTGAACTTCAAAATAGTTGAATACACTTCTTTGTAATGCATCTTGGAGAAATAACATCTTTTAATTGAGGAATTACAAACAACCACCTGTTAATGGTTATCTGTAGTGGAGATTTGACATGAATCATCTTTAAAAATTTCTTTTCATGCAAATATTGCCAAACACTGGTAACAATCCCAGAACATGATTTTATTAACTACACATACTTGGAAGAGCATTTGTAAAATCCTAGATCTTTAGTGTTATATTTGCCTTTTAGTATGTCATTAAACATCTTTTCAGATGAAAACTAGGTGGAAGTTCCTCAACTGCAGCTGCATGAATCCCCAAAATTTCCCTTGCATTTGCCCAAGACCCCAAATGTGCTAAACTCAGAAGATACCCCAATTTGTATAATGGGATTATAATGTAGAACAATCAGAGGTTTTAAAATCTTGGGTTTACAAGCTTTGTAAATTTGCCTTTCTTTGCTTTCACTTTTTTTACCACCAATAGTGGTTAACACAGCAGATTCTACTTCAGTTTATAAAGAATTAGGTTTATTCAACTTTGAAAATACTCACCTGAAATTGTTCCATGCCAAGTATTCAGAGGCTAATTTCTTCAATAACTCAAACTCAATAGTGACAATGAACAATGAACAAGAAGTGAGCAGTATTAACAAGATCAACACATCAAGAGTGAAAGAACCGCTTGAATCCTTGTACCTTTTTAATTGACTTGATTCCTAGTGTCATCAATCCTTTGACAAACTCTTTTGTTGCCGAAGATCAATAGTCTTACACGTGTTTAATTTGGATGTTATTTCTTCAGGGGTAGCAAACAACTCTCCATCAGTAAGTGGTTTCCCTTGCTAACAAAAATCACTTGAACTTTGGTTGCAGCCTCATTTTCATTTTTAATGTTGTAAAGAATTCTAACGGTTGCTTGCCTATTGGGAATATTGTGATGTGTCATTTGGTTATGTCAATATATATTAACTTGGTTCTAGAAGCTCTGTCATCTAATTCAATATGAAAATCAGACTACACTGTGCCATAAACACATTATTGGAAGTCTATTTTTTTTGTTTTGACAGGATGGATACACACTGGTAATAATCAAATCAGATGTTATAGCTTACTATACGCAGTATCAAAATGCTGTTGAACTATAAATGTTCTTACAATGAATTTGCAGTGTGCTGAGCAGCAGTGTGAAGTGATCTGAATAATACAGAGTCAGTCCTGTTGTTAACCATGAAAACAGCCGGAAAGTATGTTTAAAAAAAAAAAAAAAAGGCATGGTGTATTCCAGTAAAATTTTATTTATGGATAGTGAAATTGAAAATTCATATAATTTTCATGAAATGTTACTCGTGTCCCATGCCTTTTGCAGCAACATGGATGGAGCTGGGGAAGATCATGCTTAGTGAAATAAGCCAGAAAGAAAAGGAAAAATGCTGGGTGGTCAAACTCATAGCAGGAGTATAAAGGACCAGGCAAGAAAATAATAATGAACTATATACCAGAGACATTTTTTTCTTTATTTTTACATCATTTTGTACATTTTTTTTTTTCATCTCAATTGTAATTCCCGTGGGTTTCCCATCACCGAGTCACCGGTGTGCCATCACCATAGTCCCCTCCTCCCCCCCATTTTTGATCCCATTCCTCACTCCACCCCCACAAAATGTCTCTGTATACCAGACAATGGTGATGGCATATGAGTGCTTTGGTAATGGGAAACCCATGGGAAAAGGCACAAAATGATGTAAAAAATAAACATTATTTAAAAAAAAATGTTACTCGTTTCTTTTTCAACCATATGAAAATGTGAGAAGCATTCTCAGGTCACCTGCCACACAAAATAAAAGTAGTGTGCCATAATCTGCCTGTTTCGGTCTAAGTAATCTCATTTTAAAAAATTTATAGTGATGGTGTAACTACTTAAATCATAGTTACATCCTCCAATTAAGGATAACAACAAATAGCACTTTAATTTTAAGCTTTCCTACTTTATTATACCATTATCCTGCCTTCAAAAAATTATATTCCCAAATAGTAGGCAGTATTTAAGTATTTAATAAAATGTTAGATATTATTTATAAAATTATAATTTTAATATATAGCAGAATTCAGTTAATAATACTCAGACTGTGAGAGAGCAAGCACAAGAGGGGTTTTAATGAGTAGCTAATTTACAAAGTTATACAAATTATATTTACATAAAAGTCTAGTGGGGAGATGGAGAAATCATTTCCAATTAAGCAGTTTGTGGTTTTTTTCTTCTAAAAAGGCTTAATCCGTCCTTTGGCGTTTAAGAGGTGGATCTTCAAGAGTCTCTGTAACAAATAGAAAACCTGTATTAGGTAAGATACTTACCATTTGAAAATACTTTTTAAAAAACAAATAGAGGGATTTTAACGGCTTAAATGTGTTCAACTTAGACGTGGGCTTATTATTCTAATGAACAGTCTATTAAACTGAACAATGTATCATTAAAATTGGTAAAATTGGATCACAAATGAATGGCAAGAGATCTTAAACAGAAACATCTAATTAGAATTAGTTTAATCCAACTTTAATACACAATATAATATATATAGCTTAAAAAATATGTGAAAGACCTTATACTTGACATTTAATCTCCCAGTTGTCACTCACCTGAGTTTAAGGGCTGGTTCTGGTACAGAACAGCAGCAGGAATCTGAAAGGTGATGCATACCATTTCCTTGTTAGGGGCCACGTTTCTTACTAGGTGAACTGAACTGCATGCCTCCAAAGAAATACCCAGGGCAGCTCCAGCTCGTTGCTGAACATCCTTAGCAGGATTAGCGTCTTTGGAAAAGCTGTAACAGTGCACTATGGGAAGGAACTCATGGCTACGTGGCTGCCCATCTAAAAGCAATTTGAAAGCAGTGAGAAACTCGATAGCCTTGGCTGGCAAGTTCATGACAATGTGCACAGAGTGTTTTCTTTCTTTGGACAGTGGCCCCAGCTGCTCCATTAACTCTTTTCTGACTGGTCCTTGCAGGAAGTCTTTCCCATCCAAGTTAAAGATCTTTACCTTTTGATCTACTTTATTTAATTTACAATTGTGCAATAGCCATTTATGGGATTCAGGATTGAGATCATTGGCAAATACAGTACAGTTTTTCTTTGCTACAGGAATGACAAATGGCCCAACTCCAGCAAAAACATCAAAGAGGACATCCCCAGGTTTGATAAGTTCTGTGATACGGCTATGTTCTGTAGAGAGACGAGGATTCCAGTAGACTTTTGAAAAATCAAATTCATAGGTGTAGTTGTTTTCTCGAACCTGGAAAAGTATTATGCTCTGTTAATCTGATTAGTATTAAATTCTTGTCATTGATATTGGGTGGGGGTACCTATTCCACCCACCACCCACATTTAAATTTACTATTAAAAACAACTGGGTATTTAAGTATTTCAGTCAGAATTCTGGAGTTTATATTATCTTGAGGCTAGTTACTATCTCAATAGATTTTTTTTTCATGAGAAAGGTCATTTCTTCTAGCCCAAAAGGCTCTCCTTCTCACTCTAAAGGGCCATAAAGTGATTCTCAAAAATAATAATAATTCAGATACATCAAAAGACAGGCTTTATTGGCCTATTTGAAAAAAATACTTTTCTTGTGTTATCTAATGGAGAATGGAAAAACTAACTTGAAACAACACACTACTCATAACTTCAAGTGATTATAACTGCTAACCATGTGCTAAGGTTGAACGCTAAGCTGCAGACAACACTTACACATGACAAATACACCTCCCTTCTTATTTAGTGTAAGAGAGAGGCATGACATATAGATGTGTTCTGTTATTTAATTTTGAGGTGTTTTGTTTTTAGAGTTTCATGGACTTTTGTACATTTCACACCCACAAGTCAGTGTGTAGAACAAATCACTGCCTGATCTTCTTTCTTAAACTTGAGTTTTCAAGGATTAACTGGATATATACAGGAGGGTTAGTGCTGAACAAAATTAAAGACTTGGAACCATTTCTTTTGGGGCTATTTGAAAACATAAACATGACAGAAAATAGAAAACAAAACTAAAAGTTATAGAATACGTCATGAACTATCATGTTAAGCCCCTTATTTTAACAGGTAAAGAATCAAAGGGTCATTAATTCTAAGTTCTATAAACCTGATAGTGATATATCTGCCTTTATGGAGCTTAATTCCAAATCTACATGTATTTTTTCCCTCTCAACCACATCACATACTCTGGCCACACTATTAAAGTCTTAGAGTTTAAATGTTTCTACATTGCATCAACTAAAAGTCTTTCTAGTCTTTCTGGGATGCTTTTCCTAAAATTACTTGCCCCTCCCTCTCCCCTCTTTTTTAAGATTTACTTATTTATTTATGCATACAGAACTGGGGTAAAGGCCAGAGGTGCAGGAGGGGCAGTGGGAGGATTCACCAGAGGCAGAGTGGGGAGCAGAACAGACCGACTGATGAAGTACTCTGCTGAGGGGAGCGGCAGGGGAAATAGGAAAGGCCTGCTGTTCCATGTGAGTCACCTTCAGGGTGGGGATCGAACTTGGGCTGCAGTTAGCTTGCAGTGTTTTGTCCTAACTTCTTGTGCCACCAGAGAGGGCACTCTGCTTGCCTTTTTAAGCTTCTTAATGTGAAACACTACGTGGATTGGGGAGTGGGGGATGGGGGGGAAGGCAAATAAAAACCCCAGTCACATTCTAAGTATCCAGGTACTCATGCTATCTTTTATATCTCAATTTTACTCCCTTAAAATACTTTTCTGCCAGATTTCACTTTCAGGAATCTTTCTTATCACAGCATGGGTACTACTATACCTAAATGTTGTATGATTTCCTAAAGTAAGCTAAAGTGTGAGAAACTGTTTGGAACTGAGAAATTTATACTCAGTCTTTATTTTATTTATTTTTATTTTTTTTAAGATTTATTTATTTATTCATATAGAACTGGGGTACAGGCCAGAGATGCGGAGGGTGAGAGGATTCACCAGGGACAGAGTAGGGAGCAGAACAGGCAGATAGATGAAGTACACTGCTGAGGGGAGCAGTGGGCGGGCCAGGAGAGGTCTGCCATGCCATGTGGATCTCCTTCGGGGCAGGCGGGAATCAAACTCATGAGGAAGTGGCTTAAGCTTCTCAGTGCTGTGCTTTAACCCACTGCGCCACCAGGGAGGGCCCAAGTCTTTATTTTATAACATAAATATTACTGCTATAGAATATATCCAAAGGATAAACTTTAGTTGACTTATGAAACTAAGTGCAACACTTTTGTAAAATTACTGAAGTTTCTCAGAGCTTTCAGATGCTCTTTGAGAGAGATGCTACCCATTAACCCCAAGAGTCAATACCAAGTGAACAAAATGCATAATGTTCAATCTTGTTATGCCTAAAGCATATGCTCAGTGTCAGCTGAGATGAGCACCATTACCAAAGGATTCACTTTCAAATCTTACTTCTATACAAGACCTGATAATTATGCACCAGTAGTAGGCAATGGAGTCTGGCACACAGGGAACCATGTGTGAGGGTTAGAGATAATAGCCCAGCTCTAAATTCCTTGCTCATTCCTTGTTACTTCATCTTCATAAGAGAATATAATAACAAAATCATTAGTCTATAGGTTGCTTAGGATTTGTTACATTTAAAACATTTAGCTCAGCGCTTAAGGTAGTAATATTTTAAGTATTTTGATACTATTAAACTATGGAGAAGTATGATACTTAAATTGTTATGTAAGTCTATGTGGTCCAGAATTAAAGCAATTATTATTCATAAACATAGGAAACAAGTCAAACTCTCCCCTAACTTGGGTACAAAATTTCACATAAGGTCAACATATAGTCATAAGACTTTTGGTTTTCAACAAGTTTATTATATTCTGCATGCCACAGGATTTTAGGAATGAGAGATGCAAAAAGTGGTATAGACCAGGAATCTATTCCTACATATTTTAAATTTTGTTTGAACTAGATATTTGATTTCTCTTAGAAATATGTGCTCAGTAGAAAAGCATAAAGATGACAACATATGTCACAATACCAAATAAAAATCGATCCACTGTTAATATTCTGATACATGTTCAGATTTATAGATATTTGATTAAAATGAAACTATGTTACATATAATATTCTACAACTTGCTTGTCAATGGGCAATTTATTTTAATAAGTATGGAGCTAGTCTAATAATGGATAATTCCATTTTACTATTATATCAAAGTCAATCAATTCTCTATCAATGAATATTTAGGTTGTTTCCATTCCTTTGCTTGCTTATTTACTATTATAAAAATGGTTATGATGAACCTATATAGTCAATATACATAATTACAACTATATGCTAACTTCTTATAAGTGGAATGCTAGGTCAGAGGATATACCCATTCAAAACAGCAATATATTGATATTACAATCCTCTTCCTAAGATTGTATCAAATTTGTACTCCCTTCAATAGTACATGCAAATTCTAACATACTCATCAATACTACTATAAATATTTTTAATCCTTGTCATCCACTCCGATTCTAAACATTAATCTTGATATACATTGTACTAGGAGAAAATAAAACTCTATACCTTGGTCATCATGTTCTTCTCTCCAGAGAGTACTTCCATTTGGAAATTTCGGTATGTATTATCAATATTATTGATTTTATTTACTGCTGAGGTAATTCCTGGATTTTTGTCAATCATAACTTGGCCTAAAAGAGATGAGAGTTTATAATAAACACAAGCTATTTGTTTCAAATAAAATGGAAATGAATTTTCTATTGATTTATATAGAAAACTGCATGTACCATGTATAACATAAAATGTAAAAAACTTCAACAGATTGCTGTTAATGTCTGATAGCCTCCAATTTAAACACACAAAAAAACTGTCAGTACATTTTTGAAGAAAAATTTTTGAGGAGTTTGGATATTTGCAAATTTCTTGTTTTGTTTTTACTAAATCTTTTCAAATATACCAGTAAGCAGAAAAAGCAGACCATAGGGAATTGGCAAAGAATGGAAAGAAGTATAAGGGCTGTGGTAATTAATAGTTTTAAAATATCAACTTGTCCCATTAGCATCCAACCAGATGTTTATGTACTGTGTACTTGAAACATGGCTCCATTTATGTACATTCTCTTCTATGTCAAATATTTGCCAGAGTAGGAAAAGCTACAAAAATAATAAAATACACAGACATGGTGTACTGATGACTTTTTATCAAAGTTGACTTTTTGTCAGCATTTAAACAATTTATAAGGATCTATATGATATTTCATTGCATAAGGAAAGATAATGATATATAAGTATATAAAAAGTATGTGGTAATACAAATATGCTGAAATATAACTAAATTTCTCCCAATTCTCTGAGAATTAGGTGCTAATTTTGAATATGATTAATATTAATAAATTCTAGTCAGTCATTATTCTTATCTGGTTCTGTTTCAGATATGAGAACTCATTTTTTTAAGGTACGTAGTTAGGTTAAATAAGAAATTAAATTTTTGTATAAAAGGCCTTTTCTGAAAGGTGTATAGTAAATGCTTTAGAATTTTTACTGTATAAAAATTATTGCTGTTTCACTTTAAATTGGAGTGCCCCTTATGACAGAAACATTATAAAATGGGAACACCAAAAGGAATTTGGCAGTTAAGATAGGCAGTGACTCATGGGACAGCCTAAATTTGACATTTGTACCCAGTGATAAAAATCTGCTTAAATGTTTATTATGTTATCACTAGGTATCATCAACCTCTTCATCAATATAAACAACAGAAATGCACAGTAACATATTTCTGAAGTCCTAACCATGCAAAATACTACGCTAGAACACTGAAAATAATTCCCAGAAGTTCTGACAATTACTCTACATTAAGGAAAAAAAAAAAATCTGGAGAATGCATGAACATTAAATATTTATGTAAGAACAAGTGCAATAATAGTTCTTATAAAAATTATTTTCTTGGCCCTCCCTGGTGGCGCAGCGGGTTAAAGCACAGCATTAAGAAGCCAAAGCCGCTTCCGCATGAGTTCGATTCCCGCCTGCCCGGGAGGTGACCACATGGCGTGGCAGACCTCTCCTGACCCGCCCGCTGCTCCCCTCAGCAGTGTACTTCGTCGATCTGCCTGTTCTACTCCCCGCTCTGTCTCTGGTGAAGCCTCTCGCTGCCCCTAAGTCTCTGGCCTGTACCCCAGTTCTGTGTGCACAAATAAATAAAAATCTTTTAAAAAAAAAATTATTTTCTTTCTTTTTCTTCTTTTTTTGGTAAACCCTGGGGATAAGGTAGACATACACAGCACTGGTTTTAAAAGGCTAGAAGGAGCACAAAAAAACAAGGTGCCTGACATACAGAAGAGGCTCACTTAGTTGAATTAACAAAAGCACAATGAAAATCTTGTATTTTTGTACTATACAGTACTAAAATTTATAAAACCTGGCATTTGGCATAAGCCAAAAGGTCCCAAAAGTCCTATGTACCTACATGATGAATCACCAGATTATTTTATCAAAGCTAAATACTGAAGTTTAATCTACACCTACATACTACATACACAAAAGCTAGACTTGGTATTTAGAATATGTTAAGACTTCAAAGTATATCCTAGATTGGGCCTCCAGAGGGTATGAAGTGAAGATTTTACTTAGATTAAAATGATATTGTCCTGTGCCTGTAATCTGGCATTTAAAAAAAATTTAAAGGCGAAAATTAAAACTTGCTAATTGCTATATAATACATTAATACTATTATGACACACCTACCAATTAAATTCTTGAAAGGTAGCTGGTGATCACGAAGGTTCAGGTGGGCAATATGTCCAACTCTGCTAAACCCTGAAGTCACATCTTGACCTTCAGGAAGCACAGCCCTCAAGATTTCCTCTGACTTAAAGTTTTCATAAGTTAGTTCCAAATTATATTTAGAGATCTGTGGATTGACATTAAGCTGCTTTAAAATACTGAGTTCTGCTTTCTCAAAGGAGTTACCAGTAAACATTTTATGGGGATCCAACATAATTAGCCTACTTTCTTCATCTTCTGGATCTTCAATCACACGTTTTATGCCTGGACGCTGCAGTGCTGTCCTTTTAAGGAGTCGCATCAATTTATTGACTATTTCTTTTTTCACTCTCAGCACTGGAATGGTGATGGTCTTTTTGAAAGCTGTTCTGTCAAGTTCTGTCATTCCGCGCACATCAGAGGGTGGTGCGAACAACTCAGAGTCTCTATGATTTGTTTCTGTTTCAGACATGGTTGAGAATCTTTTTCTTTGAGCCAACAAGAAAATACCACGTGCTTTGCTAAGGTTCTGTATCAGTGATGACCAAGCTAGTGGAATTAACCATACTGATTCAATTAGTCCACAGTTTCTCACTTTGAGAAGCTTTCTTGAGAATCCAAATGGCCTCCATAAGATCCTAAAGTAGTCATTCAAAAAAATACTGTAAGGCTACACATTCATTTACATATTCATAAATAGGTTTTGAACAAAAAATCTAAATTCTACTTAAATAATCTAAAAATCTAAATTCTACTTAAATGCTGATAATTAAAATTTTAGTGATGTACGAGAATATACTCTTTCAGCACCGGGATGATTTTTATTAGTGACAAATTTCCACCTTCAACCATCTGCTGCTGGGTCAGGGATTAATGACCCATCAGCCTTCCTATACTGAATGAATCTCTCCACCCTCAATTGTGTATACAACGCATATGGAAGACTGAGATTTTTGTTAAAGGACCATCTGTAAATACCCATTACACTTACCACGTTATCAAAGGAATATTTAGTAAGCTATTTGACCATGCTTATTGTGTCATATGCTCTGCCAAATGCTTTAAACGCAATCATTAACCTCAGGAGGTGTGCAGTATCACGTCGTCATTTTGTAAGTGAGTCTATGAAAGCTTAGAAGTAGGTCGATTTACCGAAAGTCCCCTGGCAGCTAAGTGGTTAAGCCAGAATTAAAATTTAGGGGCTGATGGATCTCAGTAATTGTGTTCTTAATATATAAATACTGCTGTATTGTTTACCTGGATCCTCGGTCTACTGTTAGGCGTCCTGCCTATAAATAGGTTTCAGTATTTTGAAGACTTTGCAGAGTCCCATAAACAGCAACAGTTACTCGCTTACGTTCTAAAATACCAAAGAAGTAATTTTAAGTGAAAAGGATCCTGGCCTGCAACCGGTAAAGCAACTGAAATTCCACAGGGTTCAAAATACGTTTAGCAATTAACTAACCGTGTCTCCCACCTGCAAAATGTGGCTAAAGGTCCATCAGAAAGCTTTCGAAAAGATTACACAAATACCTCACTTTCCAGTACTCAAACCCTAGACTCAGCACCCACGCCGGTGGATGACGCGAGACGTTTCCGCGCTCAGGCAGCTCGTGCCGGGAAAAAGCCCTAGGTGGTAAGGATGCTGCCACCCGACCTCCTCAGTCCCTACAAACTATCAACGGCACCGGGGCCGTCCTCACCGAAGTCTCAGTCCCAATCCACAGCGTCGCTCGGCTACTGGCTCCAAGACCAACCAGAACCCTCACCTCATGCCTGGGTACAGCTCGAAAATGGGTCGCTGGGCAGTGGGCGGGCCCTTGATGACATCATTACTCGTCGCCGCAGAGGGCCGAGCGTCCGTAGCTCTTGTTCATTCACTTTCTTCCCCGCCCATGGCAGGTACGGTTGCCGGGAGGGGCCAAGCCTCCTGCTCCGCCTCTGGCGCGACTAAGGACGGTAGGATAGAGGTAGTGACTCTCACATGGACTTGGTAGTCGGCCAGCGAGCAGCATGGAGGCGCCCAGGCGGATCATTGATGCTGACCTGGGCTGGTACGTCTCTGGTCAGCAGCCCGAAGAAGCGGAGGCGGAAGAGTTGAACCCGTTGCTAAGCAACGTAAGTGGTCTCAGGTAGTTTTCCGGAGCAGACGGCCTGTGGGCTGCCCTGAAGTGCCTGTCAAATAATGAACGGGCAAAGACTGAGGATGGCACGAAGATAGAGGAGGATCTGGATGGGGCTTGACATTTGGGGAATACTGTCCAAGACAGCAACCAAGATTCGGAGGAGCTCCTTTGGTATCCACGAAAGTGTTAGCCGTTTATGTGTCTAAAGAAGGAAAACTGAAGTGTACAGGTGCATGCACAGGGGGAAGAGGTGCAACACTGAGTCGGGTTAGACCTCTATTAGATGAGCAGCCCTAGTGTTCTGTAGTTCACAGCTATTTGTTACTGTTGTAGTCCTCTTCCTGTTTGCCGCCCCACCCCCACCCCCCAGTCTTGTGAGTTTTCGCAAGAGTCATAAGATTTTTCTTTTCTCCACTTAGTCATTGGGCTCTATAAACATTTTAATATAGAATATAGAAATCCTTAGTGAAGGAGTGGGAGTGGCCTGGTAATAGACATATTACCAGTATATAACCAGGCCTGGTTCTGTGTGCATGGCGCTTCTCTGGCCTAAAGCTTGTGCAATGCGCACTCAGCTTTATCGTCCCAGTCCCTGAACTGTAACAGTTTCTGGAACTTTGCTCCCAGATGATTTCTTGGGGGAGGGTATTTTCAGTAGGTTCCTGGCTGGTGCAACATAAGTTATTTCCAGTCTTTGCAAGAAGTTCCTGACCAGTCTCTAATTGGAATGAATGCACTTAATTTATTACGTATATTAGTTCCAAGAATTGAGGAGCGATAGTTTTGCACAGCAGTCCCAAGCTTACTTAGGGATTCTTCCGGGTCACATGCTGCTGAGGCCATAGTCTTCTTCCCCATCACATTCTTGTTTTATCTTCATCTTACACAATTGCAAGTTTAGTCATGGCTTTTTCTGAGCCTCCCAGCTCTGTATTGGTGGAGATGATTTTCTTAGGAAACAAAATTCCTGGATTGGTACTTAGTATAGAGGTGGAAGGTGAAGAAAGGAAACAAACCAATCTGGTTGAGCAACTAGTGTGACACAAAATTCCCAGTGGTTTGCAGGACACAGTCTCCCTAATCTGCCTTTTCTTGACAAAATTTCAACTTCACTATCCAAACATTTAAATTTATGTGCTTACAGGAATTTCACAGACAGGAATCCTCGGGTGTTTCATTTGGTTTCTCAGTGTTTAATTTGATGAATGCCATCATGGGGAGTGGCATCCTTACCTTAGCTTATATTATGGCTAATACTGGTATCCTTGGATTTGGGTAAGTTTTTTTTTTCTCTTTTTACCAGTACTTTTCATTTTGATGATATACAGTAAGAGCAAAGAGACAGAGAAATGTTATTCCAGAAGTTGGTGGTACACAATTTCTAGTGTAATTTATTTCAATGGTTTTTAGCATTTTCCTGTTAATTTTACACTAGTCTGTAGCTTGGATGGATGCTATATAAATTGTATTTTTTTAACCCAAAAGTGCAGCTAGTTAAAAAAAATGGAAACTTGATCCATATTTTTTTTATGACTTTCCTCTCTACACGCCTCCCCCCCCCCATCCCCCTTCTAGGCCAGTCTTTTATTTCTGGCTTTTCTGCTTCCATAGTACATGTATATGCATTCTGTTATAATGACTTTGTAAATTGGTTTCCCCACTAAACTCTGAAATTCTTTAATAGTAAACCTCCCCTTAGTATCTAGCACTGAGGTCAAAAGAATGAATGAATAAGTTTGTTTTGTCAGAAACAAACCTGTTTTACTTGGACATTTAAAATATATTGAGCTTCACTTTTTTTAATTTCTTATTTCTTGATAAACCAAACCAACTGTTAAAATAACCTTTTACTGTATTTTACTATTGAGTATACTCACAGACTTTTTACAATTTTAAATCTTCTCAATGACCACATAGGTAATATTTAATAATAGGACTTACCATGGTACATGTGTGCTCACAGAACATTACACTTCCCATTTGGTGACATCAATCTGTTATTTTGTGACACTTTATTGACAAGTGTATTTTTACCTCTCACTTTGCTCCTTATTAATAAGAATTAAGTGGATCTAAAAGAGAGAATATCTTGAACTATTGAGGGCAAATCTTTAAAAGCTTGTTCTGTCAGTATCCTGAGAATAAGTAGGGGGTTATTCATAATGTTTATTATCACCTCTTTGGTGAGAGGACCCCATTATTAAATTGTTTGCATATTTTTCATATTGTGTCATTAGAAAATGTGTTGACTGCAATTTTTGGTTTGATGAGTGTGTGTATGTTAAATAGATGTTAGGAAATACTGCCTAATTCATTATTAGATAAAGGTGTGAAAAGAAGGGACACATAATTGGCAGGGGAGGGCTGAAAGAAAAAAGTAGAAGTCTGTGAGGTTTCACAATTAAAGCTTGTCTTAAGACTTAGAATAGGAAAAAAATAGCTATAAGAGGGAAATGTTATAAGATCATTGAAGGACTAAACCAGCAGTCAGCAGACACGAGTGCTAGTGGAGGAAATTTGGTTTTGTTTTAAGTCAAGTTTCTAGTTTGTGTTTTCATTTAAAGAGCAGTATATTTTTATTTAAATAAAATTTGGTAAATAGATAAAAATATCTTCTTACGTTTTTTGATCACCGTTTCTACTCTGAGACAATATCTGCAAACCTTTGAATGTGAAAAAGTTTGTTTTTGTAAAAAAGTATCATTCAGAAGAAACTTTTGGGGGGTTGATGACCATGCACTCTTGTATTTTAGTTTCTTGCTGCTGATAGTTGCTCTGCTGGCTTCCTACTCAGTTCATCTCCTGCTTAGTATGTGTATACAGACAGGTAAGTGTACTGACTATATTGACTCATTTGATGAAGCAGCCTCTTGAGATTATATCTACATATAAGATTAGATTTCTCAAATCTAATTTCTCATGGGCACACATTTTTATTAGGTAGCATGATTGAAATGGAGTATTTCAAAACACCAGGATATGTAGATCCCATCCTTTGTCCACAAATACAGCTTAATTTCCCGGGTTTCAATAGATCAGGAAAAGAACCTAAGGAATCCATACCTTTTGTTCAGATTGTGCTACTCCTTGGATGATAGTTGCCTTATGGAAAACACTTTCTCACATCTACATCTTTTGTCCCATCTGCTGCCATTTAGACTAGGTAAGCATGGCAGAACTAGAATTGTGGGAGGCAAGGCCACTAAGCTTTGCACGTATAAAATAAGATGGGGTTTTAAGTAAGTGAAAAAAGTATATGTGATTGTTATATATATAGGTATATGAATACACATGTATGTGTGTTTTTCTATTTGGAACTTTATTATGTAACTCAGTCATATAGTGAATAAATTCTTTTTAAGTAGTAGCAAATGAAAGTATATGAATTGCAGGACTTCTGGCATTAACAAATATACATCTACCCACCCTGGTCTTTTTTTATTATTATTACAAAAGTTTATTTTTACATTATTTTGCATTTTTTTTCCCCATCTCAATTGTAATCCCCGCGGGTTTCCCATCACCAAGTCACCCGTGTGCCATCACCATAATCCCGTGCATCCCCCCCCCCCGTTTTTGATCCCATTCCCCACGCACCCCAACAAAATGTCTCTGGTATGTGGTTATTCATTATTTTTGTTATTTTCCTGCCTGGTCCATTATACTTCTGCTATGAGTGAAACCATCCGGTATTTTTCTTTCTCTTTCTGGCTTATCTCACTAAGCATGATCTTTTCCAGCTCCATCCAAGCACCCTGGTCTTTTTATCTGTCTTTTCTGTCTTTAGATGAAATCAGTTATGATGCTAGAATCATGAGTTTAATTCATATGTGGATGACTTCACTATGCTTTATGTGATCTTGTAGTTTTCAGACTTTAAGAAGCAGAATCGATACATAGAATAAATAAAAATGGGATTATTTTGGCTTAAATAGTCTAAAGGTATTTTTTGAGAATGTTAAGAGTCATCAGAACTATTCCTAAATCCACTGCTGTAATCTGTTTATGTATCAGACACACTTACATATCTTTTTATAAACAGGCTTCTAAGTGATTGTTAATCCAAACTGGTTTAAGATAGCTTATAGCTATAACTTGTACGACTACCATTGGCGTTCCAGCCTACAAATGTGTGCCTCTTCTTTCAGGAGGCTTGGGTCAGATAAAATATTGGTCAGATAAAAATACTAGGAAACAATGCAATAAAACTAATCTCAAAGTAACAGTTGTTAATAATGGCATTGCTGGTTCAGAAATGATGGCATTATATATACTTATTTTAAATCCTGTTGAAACTTGTTTGGAATTTTAATACCCTTTTGAAATTTTGCTTCTTTGTGTAAAAATTTTATTTACTTAATAGTGATAGTTAACATCTTAATGATTATTTCATTATAGATTCCAAGTCCTAAAGATTAATATGTTATCAATTACATGACAGTTATGTCTTCATTAGCTATAATCCTTTGCTTATTAAGTTAAATTATTTGGGGGTAATAATTCAATTTATGAAGATTTCCAAGGAATGTTAATTTTTTTTTTTTGCTTCATTTTAACAATGTTTGGCTTTAAAATTCTAACACGATATTGTTCTTTTATAAATTTGGGACAGATAAATTGAAAAACCTCTACCTCTCTTTCTTTTTCTTTGATTTTTGTAGCCTGCTTGGTCTATGAGCTAACTGCTTCATGGTTCTTCGTACACATTGATGCACCTGTCTTCTGTTGATTGAATTCCTTCAGTCAGTGTAAAATTCTCTCTGGAGGTAGGCTTTTCAAAAAGCTAGCTAGCTAGCCAACTATATATTTATAAGACTAGAGAGTAATATGTTGCTAACTTTTCCTCTCATTTTGTTGGATTGTCATTAAGGACTGTCAGGCTCAGATTGGATTCATTGGTCAGAGAAGACAATATCAGAAATCTTTACAAAATAATTTTATTATTTTCCTGGTGTAAAAGGTGAAGTGAAAATTTTACTTTATAAAAGTAAAGAAATTCTGCACATTAAATTCTATTTTAGATTTAATATAGAATCAGAACTTATTGAGACCTAGTTTGGCGTATAAAGTACCTTAATCTCTGTAGCTTTAGTTTCTCATCTGTAGAATAGTAATAATAATACTTCCTTCTTGGAATTGTTGTGAGAATGAAATAAAATTGTGTGTGTGTGTATGTATATAAAATACCAGATCCTTGATAAATACAAGTTTTTTTTACTACAAGTTCTTAATAAGACAAAATCTTTGAGGATTGCAAGTTACCCACTGCAATCTCAGAAACAGTTGACTCATTGTGATCTTTGGGAAAATGTCTACACTCTTGGAATAAGCCTACAAATTGTTCTCCTGTCTTCCCCATCACTGTCACAAGGAAAGAATGAGAGTTCTGGTAGTCCGCATGTTTCTGCTCAGAACTTGACTCCCCAGTACACCACTATTTCTCATGGTACCATCACCATTGCTTTCCTTGAGATAATTTATATTAATGACATTAGACTGTCTTAATTTATTTCGGTCAGCTCAGGAATCCATTGTTATCCTTAATCTTCTAGACATTCCAGATAACTCTGTCATTGCTTTTCTGAACTCATCTCCCACTCCTGCCCAATTGTTGAAACTCTTTACTGTGCTGTCTAGAAAGGGGTGGAATTTGGTAGTGATCAATCAGTAGTAGGACCATGAAAATAAATAGCTGAGGTTCCTCTATGGAACACCATATTCATACTTCCTCTATGGAACACCATATTCATACTTTTCTGGTTTTCTTTATATTTCATTTCTACTTAATCCTTTCCTCTCCCTATCCTTTACATTGGAGTACTCCTCTGTTCTCTTTGGTTTTACATGCTAAGGCTTATAATGACCTTGATATTTATACCTCTAGCCTGGAACATTTCCTTGAATATCAGTGTCATATCCAAATGCCTTCATAAAAACATCACTACTTGGATATCTAACATGTTGCAAATTGAACAAATTCTCCATTTTTGCACCACTATTTTTGCATTTGCATCCCCCCCCCATCTAAATAGAAGGAATAATTTTTCTTGTAGTTCATTAGGCAAAAGGTTTTGGAATTATTCTGGACACCTCTTTTTGTTATTATTTCCATATCCAAATACAAACTACAAATGTGAAAAAGTTCTTTTTTTTTTTTTTTTATAATTTTGAAGGTTAAAATGTTGACACACATTTCTGAAAACCATGATGAAAAGTTATAGATGCTACCATTTAGCTCCACCTTTAGACCTACTAGATATTTACCTAGATGAGTTTAAAAAAAACTATACATGGAGGTCTGTATTTATTCATGATTTTCATAACCTACTGGCCACCAACATGTCCTTCAGTGAATAGATAAACTGGCAAATCAAGACCATTGAATACTAGTCAGTACCACAAAGAAATGAGCTATCATGCCAT